TTTTCAGAGCATTGTTTCTACTTTTTTACGCTGCTCTGCACAGAAAGGCCAAGCGTTACTTTACTGTGCGAAAGGGGTCAGTATTTTACAGCAATGGCCAACTGACTGCGAAGCAGTCTGGGCGGGGAGAGCCAAGCCATCCTACTGTTGCTGTTCTTTTCAGGAGCACTTGTGTCAATCCAACCTGAATTCAGGATCGAAGCAGCATGCACATGTGTGCTCTTACATGCTGTCTTTGCACCATCACAACACGTATCACAGCACAAAACACACCAACACACAGTTAGTTATGAGCTAAATCTGCACCAGCAAAGACTGTACTCACCGAGCTGTAATAACTAGGCCCTGCGCTGACAAGCATTAGGTCATTAGCGCCGAAGGGTGGCATATTCGTGTCCCCAGTGCAGTACACCTCGAAGCCCAAATGATGCAGGCTGGCAGCAAGTGCCCTCATCACCAATCCCTCCCGTCCAACACCACAGCATCCTATTCTGTTGGCGCTGCGGATGGACTTGGCCAGAGTGACAATATCCTGCTTGTCAACTGTGGATAGGATGGACGACAGCTCTTCAAGAACAGTCGCCGACACCTTCGAGAAATCCTCCCAAGGGACCTACATGGAACAGAGTGGGCAACTGAGCAAGCATAAATACAAAGCTGCCTCACTGCCAGGACAAAATGTCATGTGCTAGTGAATGGGGTTTTGCGGCGTGCCCTGTCTAGTTCATGCACACTTGTGTTGTGACTGGCTGCATGTGCCTCAAAGAACGTCTCATACACAAAGACAGGCCTTCATTAGTGAACAAAAGTCAAAAGGTTTGTCCCAGCCACCTGCAGACTTGTATATGGGTTTTGAGTCACCTCATTGTCACTCTCTTCCTCCTCAACCTTCAGGGCATCGCTCTGCTTGGCCTACAACACTCACACAAAGAGGTCAACCAACAATGGGAATGATTGCTACCACATCAAGACAGTAGCTCTAGTGAAAAGCCAGTCCACACAACATATCATATCCTTGGCTCCACAACGCGCAATACTGCAAGACAACGACCTGCAGACATGCACATTTCAGCATCTCCCTGGGCCCGGTGAATTACGAGAAAGATCTAACACTCCTGTTTCCTCTCTCCCACAACCCAGAAGTGCAACTGCAGGTCAGCACCATTCCGAACAAGAGAGACCTGGTGCCAATCTGGCCTCAATGTCAATGGCCCATACCTTGGGAGGTGGGCGCTTGCACCTGGACAGTCTGTTCTTGAGCCACACTGTGACCTGATTCTCAGTAGCATGGCCTGCTCCTTGAACAGCAGCATGCAGTTCTGGAGTAGCTTTTGTGTACCCTGCAACAGAGGCCATCTGAACTCATTAGATGTGAGGTTTGCATGAATACCCTTGTGAATCACAGGCAGCCTCTCAAGGGAGCCGAAACTGTCGTTCTGCAAGGCAGCGAGTACTCAACGATACTCTAACTGCTTGAGGCTGCCACCATGCTAGCATGCTCTGCCAAAACATGCAAATGCTTGCATGGTTCACCTATATGCTGATGCATCGGAATAGCAGCGGTTCTTGACCATGAACAGGAATGGAATGCAAACGACCTGGCCAGCCTGTTGGACACCACCGCCCTTGCTGCCTTGGCCAATTCCATCCTACCGTACAGCTCTCAAGGTTTCTTCAGCAAAAGAAACAGGACAGCCACAGGCCAGGTCGACAGCAATCACCACCGTGGCAACACAAAATCAACGCCAAACTACAGGTCTGTCCACTTGTGATATTCCAGGTGACCTGCTGACCAGCTTTAGAGTCTGTGGGTGTGCCAAGGTCGTCTTGCTGGTGGTGGAAAATGCTTGGTTCCCCACCTGAGTTGAAGTGCTGCTCCAGCAGGCACAGCTGCACGGGGTTGGGCTTCCACCGCGTCTTGGTCCCCTCCTTGCCGCCCACCGCCGCCCTGTCCCCGTTCTCCGTCATGCAGTGGTTGCCCATCCGCCCGCCGGCATGCACGACGCCCCCCATCCCGTGGAACACGGAGTGCCCCATCTGCCCGGAGCCCATCTGCCCGCCCAGCGGGCTCTCCAGCACGATGTCCGAGTCGGACATCGTCCTGGACACCCTGGCCACCGATCGGTACAGCCCCAACCCCGCCTGCGCACCGCCGGCGCTCCTGGCGCGGTGCACCAGCATCTTGGTGGGCCGGCCGTTGGCGTCCACCCGCGTGGGCGTGTGGCCAACTCCCCTCAGCGACGTGTCCGACGACCCCTTGGACACGAACCGCTGCCCCGAGAATTGCCCCCCCTGCTGCATCGGCTTGGATTGGCTGTTGGCCATGGCGTACCCCGACCCGTCCATGTACCCGTTGGGCGAGAAGGCCTCGCTCGTCATCATCCCCCCCTGGGAGGGCACCACCTGGATCGGCACCAGCTCAACCGGCTGGTCCATAGCCACGCCCGCCAATTCGGCCGGCAGCATCATGTCCTGCCCGTTCTTGAATCCGTACCCCCCGTAGCCGTCATCCGGCGACGACTTGAGCGCGTAGGCCTCCGATTGGTGCATCCCCGCGTCGAGGGGCTGGGACATTGGGTCGCCCTCCACGGGGTGCCCGTGCTCCATGAGGACGGTGGTGAGCAGGGCGTCCTCGCTGCGGGATTGACTGCGTACCTATAGGCATCTGGCCTGCATCAGGGATCAGCGCCGCCAGCACTTTTCGACAGGGAGGCAGTAACTAGCTCAAGGGCCTGCAGGCAGAAAAGATCCGCGCGGGTGGTCAAGTTCGGTCCCGGGTGTTCATGGGGCGGCGACGACCTGAGGTCAGCGGAATACGAGGTGGCGGCACCAGAGGCGTGGGAGGAGGCGTTGATGCCGGGGCCTGTCTGGATCTGGCCGGGCAAGCCGGCCAAGCGACCAAGCCGATCGCTCGGTCGGCGAGCACAGCGTCGCGACCCCAACCTCGCGTGAAAGGCGGCACAACCTCCAACCCCCGCAGACATTCGCGCGCCCACCACACGCGGAGGCGTGCCGCCCACGCGCCGGCGGCCCGCTGCGGCGCCCGCACGGCCCAACGACTCCCGAACGCGCTGGCCCGCCGCATCAAAAGGCCACGGGGCCGCCGAGGCACTACGACGTCCGGGACGTACTTCCCCGGCGGTTCCGGTCAAGGCGCCAAGGTCAGTCTGCAAAAGGCGATCAGCGCCCATTGGACGCCCAGAGGGGTTCGATGCGCACTCTCTCAGGCACACAACCCCGAGAGAGCCCGTTGGCCGTGCACCACGCTGACCGCTCACTGGAGGTTTGATGGGGGCCGTGGACCGAAAACGTCTCCAATGCACGCAGTGGTCCCCCCGCGACACGGGTGGAAAGGGCGTGCCCAGGAGTTTGTCCGCGGCCCCACCATCCCATTCCCGCTGCCTCCTTTCAGTCTCCACCCACAGCGCGGGCTTGGGCAGGCCCTAACCCGCGCTGGAGCCCAAGGTGCGCGTCTGCCGGCAATTGCGTTTCACCGCGCGGGCGCTTCAGCGCCCCTCGACGCCAGAATCGCGCCAAGCTGCTCCGCGCGACTTTGCCGCGCCCGCCGCGCCCCCCCCAGCCGCCTTCGCGCGGCCGAGCGGCGCGACGGCCGTCCCCGGAGCCGCGGTGCGCGCAACGGTTGCCGCGTGCAGATCACGGCCCGTGGGGCGCACGACCGGGACAGGGCCCCCGGCACCCCAACATTCCCCCACCCATCGCATCCAAACCTCCAGACGGACGCGATGGCGACGTCTCAAGTCGCGTCGCCCAGCCACTAGGGTTCGCGTCCTCTGCCAAAGGCCCTTCCCCGGATCGATGGCGCCCCAAACACGCCAGCAAAGCCAGCCGGACCGCAGGGGCGCACACGCGATGACCTGCGTCGCTCGCTGTACTGCCCGTACCCGTACCAGCCCCGTACCCGTGGTTGCCGCGTGCGCCCGGCGAGCCTGCACGGGTGCCTCCACGAGAGCACCCGCTCGCGCCCGGTGCCAGCCCTCAGCGCCCGCCAGGCGGCCCAGATTGCGGTCTGCCCGGCTGCCCTTCACCTGCCCCCTCCCGGGCAGGCCTCTGGCCTTGGCCTCACCCCGGGCGCCGCGTGAGGTCGAGTCTCGAACCCGACCGGGAGAACACGCGACTCCCTGGCCTGGTGGCCCCAAGCGCTGTTTTCCGGGTTCAGGGACCGCCGGGGACCCGACAGTCAGTGGCCATCACCGCCCCTTTCAGGCTGGACACCCAACAGGCGCGTGGGCCGGGGGGAACAGTGGACGGACCGGACAGGGGGCATTTGGTGCCAGGGGGGCATTAGGGTGGGAAATGGGGGGTGGTTAACGGCTGTGCAGCTGGAAATCGGGTGACTGCACGCGTCAAATTACGTGGGAATCGTGTCGTAGGTTGGGGGTGTGGGCCCGCCCTATCAAATCACCGGGCCTCAGTGAGCCTGTGCTCGCCGACGTTGCCCTCTAGCCTTTCTGCCCTTCTGCAACACATCCCCTGTGGTTTGCTGCTGCACGTGGGGTTGATGTGGGGAAAGGGACCGGGGGTGGTTGGGTGGCAACAACCCCCATCAAGGGGCCATATTGCGCCCCGGAGGCCAGCGGATTTGAGTGGACACTCCTTGTGGAGTTGGCCTGCACACACCTTTGATTGATCGGGTGAAGAGGCCTCGCCGTGCCACCCAGGCGCTGGTGATGTGGGTGATTGCGCAGGGCGCCCACTTGGTTTGCCACCCGCTTCCCATCCCCGGATTCCATGCACTCTTGTGGCTGTGCCCAGTGAGGGGTTCCTCCCCGTTGTCCTCTTGCCGCTGCCGCTCTTTGATCGTCGGCAGCCTTGACATCAATCAACCCCGTTGCGAAAACCTTCACAGCCCACCAGATTCCCCCAGCCACCACACTTCTTCACCATTTGCATACTGTATACCGAAAATTTTTCGAGGAGAAAAAATTTCGCGTATTTCGCGGGAAAAAAAGTTCGCGGAGAAATATTTTCGCGCACTGGCTCGACCGCGAAATGCGCGAAAATTTTTCTCCCGCGAACTTTCCTCGGTATGCAGTATGTTCGTTCAACCATCGACGCTTTCAACCGATCGATGGGGCGTTTCGTTAAATGTGCGGGCGCTTGTTGCATTCTTTCGCAGGCACCCTGGCAAGTTCAATCCACAAGCACAGCTGGGGCAAATTGCCTCAATGCCTGCGGAAACTTCGCAGCCTCCTCCCCATCATCATCATTTTCTACAGAAAGAAACTTCCGGGCCTCACCCACCCCCTTGCAAAACCCGAGGTGGGACAAAACAGGTGGTGAAAGGAGCTGCCTGTCGCCAGCAGGGCGCGACAAGACAGCACGGCCTGAGCCGCGGAGCTGCGAAGGTCATGGCGGCCACTCTGGCACTGCCCGACGGCCCTTCGGGTCTCGCGGTTCGAGCTGTGCTGCGGCTCTGTGGAAGGTCTGAAGACTACGACGTGACTTGTGGATCAGCAGATCCCGTCCTGGACGACAAGGCCGCCGGGGTCCATTTGAAGGGCGCAGACACCGTCTGCCGTTATCTGGTGTCCAGTTGCACCGGAAAAGAAGCGGATCTGCGAGCTGCAGCCACGGGGCAGCTCCTGGGATGCACCCCCATTCTGGCGGCCCAGGTGCGGCGGAGGATGTCTCAGGAAGTTGGTGGGAAGGGTGGGAGTCAGCGATGGGCAGCAGACACATCATGTGGTTGCGTGAGAGGCGGTATTGGCGAAAACTGAAGAGTCCGCCGTGATTGTTCAGATCCCCATCCTTGCTTGCGGCCGGCCGCTCGTGCTAAAAATATATGCACCGTTCTCTCCCGAAACGCAGAATCAGTGAATAGCTTGACGCTCTCTCTCATTCTGAGCACGTTGCTTGCTTTTAATCCGTTAGGCGAATGGCTCGATTGGAATAGGGCTGAGTATTGGAGGGGCACTGTGGAGCAACAGCAGGCCGTGCTCCAAGAAATTTTCATCTTGTTGGGGATGGAATCGGCTTGAATGCTAACTGCATTGTTGCAGTTAAGAAAGAGGTCAATATCAATAGGAGATGCACGACCCCGTCGAGTTGTACAGTTTGGGCTTCTCTGCAGTTCCACACAGATCTCAAGAGCGGCACTGTGATTGTGTCAGCGCTGCACTTGCAAGTTTGTTTGTTTGTTGTACTTGAGAGAATTTCAACCACTGCATGTTGTCAGAAGTCTCCTTATGTTTATTCTGCTGACTCAACGTGGAGAATTGAGAGATCGACTAGATAGATACATGCAACTGGGAGGTAACCATATCTGGGGCTTGGCCTGACACGGCTGGGCTACCTTCCGAAACCCTTGATAAGCTTGTGCTTCACCCGACTCCCAGTTTCCAGCCAGTTCGAATCACTTTCTGGATGATGTGAAAAGAAAGGGAATGTGTGTGGGTCTGCAATTTGGGGAGAAGTACCTGAAACAAAAGCCGTCAACACGCTGTGAGCTGGAGCGGGCACTCGGTGCCAGCTTTACCTGCGAGACGGGTGATTTTAAACCGGGTTCCCCAGTTAGGCGAGATTGCGGCAAATCACACCTGTTGCGACGCAGCGTTAAGCGAGAATCAGCCGCGGTCCTTACGGGTTTTCCCTGCCAATGGCTGGCCGCAATGCAGGCTGGCGACAGGTGAATTCTTGTGATAGGTATGCACTCGTCCAGTGCTGGACATCTCCTGTGCACTTTGCAGCTGTAAAGATGCTGGTGCCAAATGTCTTTATGTGCCTGATTCAGAGGTGCATAGTGTCAGTACAATTTCGAGTTCCACGCAGTGGTGGCATTCGGTGGGAGGATGCAGTGAAACATGTGCTCAGGCTTGTTATTCCACCTTTGTGCTACACGCTGGTGGACGACTTCTCCACCAACATGCTACATACCTGCCAATGGATGGCATTGGCATCGTATCCACAATTTCATGATGTGTGCATTGCTTTCTGTGTGGTACACTCATGTCATAGTTGGCAGTGCCACCAGCCCTGTGCTTGGTTTTGTTCTTGAAATGATGCATAAATGTTCTTGGATGTGCTGCCTCCAGCTGAATGCATTTCTGGCACCACGTGTCTTCCTGGTGGGTACGAGCCTGACGCTTGCGGACATATGCATTTTCGTCGTCGTCCACAAAGCAGTGGTGAGAGGCCTTCACAGGAAATCCCCTGCACACCTGTGTGGGCTGACATGATGGTGGTGCCACACTGCTTGTGTTTGCTGCCTTGGGTGCCATCTGCAACGGATGGCTCTAACCATTGTTGTCGGCTGTGACATCCCCGGACGCTGTGTCTGTGGGCAGTTGCAGAACTGCAGATCACCTCCAGACTCATGTTATCTCCCTACCCACACTTCATTAGGGATTGTGAATCTGCTGGGCAGTTGTTGGGACACTAAACAGGATCGCAGGATGATGTGAATGAAATTTCCCCAGTGTGGCTGCAAGGTGTTGCAACATGATGGACAAGTGCAGAATGCTGAATTTTTTCACATTAATCCGTCTTTTGCGACATTTTGTGTGCTCAACAGAGCAGACATCGTGATGTGTACAAGAAGAACCCCATTGTTATTGTGCACTGTCACTTCTATACATTGAATGGATGTGTACATTGGGCATGTTTCAGACAGGATTTCCCGTGGCTCAGACAAAGCGCTTCTGCAACCTGTTGCGGTGGCACGACTTGATGCTGAACATCGCAGAATGGTCCGGTATCATAGCAACAGTCCCGCTAAGGAAGCCAGTCTTTGACTTCACACCACCACAGCCGCCCCCACCACAGCCCAAGGTGTGTTGCGAAACCTGTGTCCCTTTTACAACTGATTCGCCTCTTGCTTGGTGTGAAGATGTCTGTTGCATATCAGAAGAGATGGGCACTTGTGTTGGGCATTGTTGGAGTGGAGCGTTCATGTTGTCGCAGCGCTGCCCTGTGTACAAAGTCGCACTGAGTCATGTACCAACCACGAACATGGTTTGAGAATTTCAGCATCAGTGGGGCGCAGTTGTTGATTGGATTATGTTGCTTGCCCACAGGCACCAAAAACTGATCCAGGTCAGGCCCAGCAGGCTGACTCAAAGGCCAGCTCAAAAGCTGAATCGAAGGCTGCAAAAAAGTCCAGTGCAGTTGAGGCAACGAAGACCTGACTGACCAATTGGATATTGCGTCAGATTAGTCCGTTGAGGCTTGTGAAGCTGTTCCAACTACAATGCGTCTGGAGTCTGGCGCCCCGAAATCCCAACTACTGATGGCACTGGCCAGCCGTGCTTAAGATCCCTGCAGCAATTTGGATGGCTGCTGCTGCCGTGCAATTTTTGAGCGCCAGAAGCGGGCTGTAGCAGTGTAGGTGCACCTAGGTATCTGGGAACGCTATACGGCTGCAAGACAAAGACTTGCCCCACACAGAACAACGATTGCCAGGCCTGAAGTTCCGGTAGCAAATTGACACAAGGTGTGCTGTTGAGGTGCGCCTGTGCTGTTGAGTGCCATGTGCTGTTGAGGTGCGCCTGTTTACAGGGGGCACAGGAGGAGAAGAATTCGGAGAGATATGGCGCATGGTGAATGCTCTGCCGCAACTGACGACGCTTGTGTGACAGTGAAGTAACTGGAGTGCCTGAAAGTTGCCTTATGCACCACTGGCTGTGTCCAGGCAAATGCGCACAGCTCAGGTGTTTGCATACTCTTCGTACATGGGCATGGGTGCTCGGCATGCACACGATCTACTTGCAAGTAGATCAACTGCAAGGAGGCCAACTGGTGCTGTTGTGCATATGAGGAGTATTCGCTTGTCGATTGAAGCACAAGTTGAGGCTCATCATTTGGGGTCCCTTGCTGCCCGTACACATGTGCGTGTATTGGCGTGCACATGTGTGTGTATAGGTGCGACTGTGGGCGCACACATGTGCACATGTGGCCCAAGTCCCTCGGTGCCCTGCTCTAGTGCTCGATATTAGTGTTCATGGCATGCCATGCAGCTGCCACAACAAAAGGGGATCTTATACTTCCTGGAAGCTGACAGTAGAAGTAAGACAGGAGAGTTCACCATGAACCAAGGCAGGCCAACACGGTTCCCGAGTTCTCATCATTTGAACACAGTTATTTCTTGCAGTTATTCTGTGCTGTTTTGCATTTTGAGGTTGGTGGCTGGCTCGGGCCACCCCGTTCAATGAATCGCAATGTCGACGCATGGCCCAATCGCTGGCCGCAGCTGATTCATCATCATCATGATTTTCTACAGAACAAGGCAATGAGGTAGCCGCAGGTGATTCACCCAGAGAAACAGTACCCACAATGAGGCGTCGCAAACAGGAGGCTGTTTTCCGTTGGCGAAAGATGCAGCTGATGGCCGCCTCCTGGCCTCGACACGATGTACCTAAAGACAGCGTGCAGCGAAGCTTCCCTAAGGACAGCGTGTGGAGAGATGCTGCTCCACTGATTGAGCAACAGCGGAACAGAGGATTCTCCATCACGTCCCGGTTTTCCCAATAGTTTTCAGGAGGGAGAGTTCGAACTGTGCCAGATTTCGAACTGTGCCAGAAACTCCGCCGCCCCGGCCGCAACCTTCCCGCCCATTCCAAACGCCATGTCGATCCCTGCACAGGAAGCACGCCAAGCCCCTCCCTGGGGGCACCGCCGCTCTGACGGACCCGCGTCCAGTATGGGTACCCCCGACCGATCGCAGCCGGCGCTTCTCGTGGGCCCCTCGTCGGTGAGTGGACCCGACGCGATCCCATCGAGCCAACTCACGGTTGTGCTTCAGCAATTCGCGGATGCGCTTCAGCGAGCAAGATGCGACGACTTGCCATCGTGCCCTGTTCTTCAGGATCCAGGTCGGAGGACCTCCCACGACAGCGCGGGCAGCAGCGGGCGCAGGTGCGATCAGAAAAGAAACCGCTTTCTCGCCGCTGTCCCCCTTGCGCGCTCATTTGCACATTTGGGCCAATGTCGTCTTCTAACATTCTTCAGTGCTCTCTGTGCTCTCTTCTGTACGCTTTCCGCGTCTCGATGCTGGACACGCCGTGCTAAAACTTGTGTGGACTGCCCGCCTTTAGCCATCGCATTTGCGGGTCACGTGCTTCCGTATCTTGTGCCGATTCTGCGGATATGTGGATTTGAACGGCAATGGCTTGGGTGCCACAGGGAGGCTGGCAGGACTCCGAATGGGGCCCTGAGGGGACAGGGGACGCCCTTCGGCTCCCTGGCAAAAAACCCCAAGCGCACGACCCTCACGAGGGAGCAGCTGCTCAAGATGGTGACGGACTGCTACCAGCTGTCGAAGCACAACAAGCTGGACAAGAGGAACATGTGGAACCTAACGCTGATTGACTGTATGCCGCAACTCGTGAGGGACCAATGCGAGGAGGACGGGACGTTTAACTTCGCGACAGTCACCTGCGGCCTTGACGCGAGCGTCGAGATCTATGCGAAGCGGGTGGACTGCACACACAGCATGGCCATGGACACGCTAACCATGTCCAAGAATCGGGGGCAATCCACAGGTGGAGACCGCATGGAATGTGGCCGAGAAGGCAATTTTCGGATGGTTGTAGAAAGGACATGCCACCTGACCACAGGGATTGTTGCTGCAGAAGGGCAGCCTGGCCTGGTTGCCCTCACGCATTGGTGTCTGAGTGTTGCGGAAGAGAATGCCGAGTTTAGTAGAGCTGCAGCCTTGCAGGTCATAGGCCCGTGAACATACAATCTGGGCTATTGCGGCCATCCAGCTGCCAGTTGCATGTCCTGGAAGCAAACTGAACCACCAGAAAAAGGAATTGGAATTGGAACCGCTGCTGACCCATGGAGGTGGCCTGGAAGCACCTGTGTTGACCTGGCACAAAACGTGTTGGGTCGTTTGGAAAGAACAGACTTCATATACCCTGTTATTGTACTTACCGGCAGTGCAGCGTGGTGATGAGGAGACAGGAGGGGAGGGGGATACACAGGCTCCCCGCCGTGGTCGTGCAAAGCCAGTGGATGCCACATCGACTCTGCTGCCAGAGGAAACAGGAGGCGAACGAGAAATCACTACAGAGGTGCCAAGAGATCCACTCTTTCGCGTCACTGCTGCCAAATTTGATGCTGCAGGACAAGAAGGTACAGTGGCTCTGCCACTGCTCACCATCGCAGCAGGGGTGAAAGGGCATCCCTTGCCTCAGGTCAATTAAAGCGAATGAATGTGGATCTGTGCTCTGCGACTGCCTGCTTCGACGCAATTTGATGTCCAACATGGCCAACACAAGGAAATCTGTTTACTTTTGTGCGGAGCCCTGCTTGAGCTTGTGGTCTTTCTGCTTGTAGCGTTGCTGCTATAACTTTCGATGTCTTGACAAGTGCTCTGTGTTCAAGCAGGTTTGTTCCTTGTACAAATGGGGCCCACAAACGGGGTAGAGGACAGTATGCACCTACCAGTAGCCTCAAGGATTCCGGTATATCCAGTGCCTACTAACTGTCACTGGGGCACGCATGAAGAGGTACGGTTTGACAAGCAGTGACAACTGAGGTGGCCAAGTTCATATGCAGGAATTTTACCACACATTTGCGTTACTCCACTTATGAGCAAACAAGAACTGTCCTGAACTGTCCTATGCATGAAACCCCACCCAGTCCTGTTTTCCAACACCAAGAGTCCTCCTTCCGAGCATGGGCTTAGGAATTGCAGGATTGCTGGGAGTCCACTCTGTTCAATGTATTGGAGCATCAAGAAGACAAACACAGGCAACGACATGCCCAGAGGACAGGAATGGCGTTTATGGTGGATGCCTCTCTCTTCTGTGCCCTGCATGTGCGGCAGCCTTTCAGATCCTCAGTCACTCATGATGAGGATGCTTGCATGCGCTCACATCTGGCAGAGCCAGAATGGGCTTGGGCATTGGCTGTTGCAGATGCCATTTCTGTCATTACATTTGAGGAATACTCTGTACCCTGCCTACAGCATTAGCAGCAGCAGCAGCAGCAACGATATGAATGCCTTACAGGAGACTGGGGCACTGTTTGTGCTGTGACAATGTTGTGGCTGTAAGCATGCAACTTGTGCGTGCATGTGTGCTTCGGTTGTTGTTGATCAGACCTCAAAGATTGTGAGCACTGGACAAGTTATACATGTCTGTCCTCTGCTGGTAAAGTCCAAAAAATATGTCCTAACCACAATTCTCACTTGCTGAACGTGGTCAAGAATCATCCACCAAAGGAAAGTCTGCCAACAATGCAGCAGAGCAATGCATGTGCATGTGTTGCGGGCCACATGTCCTCATCCTGAATTCTGCTCCTGCTCTTATCATTCTAGGAAGGCTGGTCAACCCAGCGCCCTCAGACATGTGCTGGAGTGAAGCCAACGTGCAGCCGCTTCTGTGAACTTCTTGAGGTTCCAGCGATTGACCATGGCTATATATTTCAGGTGGTGGAGGAGGCAGGTGGGCATGTTCACCCCAGTCATCACTTTGGCATTGTTCTATGTGCAGAATTGCAATCTAACTGGTGCAAGGGCAGTGCTTGTCTTCATAGAACGAGGACTCCTGTGCACAAGTGTCTATGCCAGTCCTCACATCAGTTCTTCAAGATCCAATTGCAGGGCTCTTCAACATAGAAATGGCTGCAGCACCTGCAATGCTGGGCAGTGCTGTAATACTGTCTGTAGCACAGTCTGTACTGTTATAGGAAATGACTCTTTATTTATATTGCTGATGAGCATTCACTGCCGGTATGCTACTCCCAACGACCTGAACAGCGCGTGTTTGTCACCTTCCAGTTTGCGGCATTGCAGGTCATTGAACAGTCCATTGTTACTGCAGTGCCTGTAGCATTGTGCCAGTAGTGTGACTGTAGTGCCCTTAGTGATGTCCCTGCAGTACTGTAGTGCTGGACTGCAGCCTGTATTATAACATACCTCATGTGCAGCTCAGCACGGTGCCCACTGTTCATGTGTCTGGGCAGGTGATACAACGGTCTGCAACGGCTCTGATCACAGAATGCCTCTGCTGCAAACCCCTCTCACTTCCGTATCTCTACATGGGTGGGGAAAGGAAAGCCATTCAGTAAACTTGGGGACTTCAGTGCTCGAGGGGGGCAGCGATCACGATGGGGATTTCGAAGTCATGGTTCATGGGGATGGAGTGGATGCAGGAGAGGTGGACAGGGGCGACGTGGCTGGCTTCCATCTGCCTTGGCATGGAACGCCGCTGTCGCCACAGCCAGTAGAGGTGTGCACCTGGATGGCAACCCATGCCACTGGCAGACATTTCTTCACCAGTGCAGTGTGCAGCCATATTTTCAATGCACCATACTTGTCCATTGCATTCGTCAACCTGGACATGCTGACACTGGGCTGCCCTCTTGTGCTGTTGTGGGGTGTATTCTTTCAAAACACTGGTTGGTGGCTCACTGTGCTTGGCAGTGCCCTTGAGAAATGGGTCTCTTGCTTGCAGCCTGAGCTGGATCAGCACCACTGCATGGCACCAACATTTGTGCATTTTGTGACATGTTTGTTATATTCAATTGGTTGATCAGATTACGGGAGCTGCAGTGCATACCAAAAGCATTGCCTCCAGGTTATGTTGTATCTATCTGTGCCACCCCTTGCAAATGCATCATTGCCATTCACATGGTGTGGGACTGTATTGCAATCTGCCTTTGTTGCCTTGGGGATTTGATGGCTGATGTCCTCAGTGCCTGCATCAGGCATGCGTCTGAATTATAGCAAATGGTTGGTTTTTGACGCCTGGTGGAGGGTGCAGTTAGCAGGGAACTGATGGAAAGCTGTAATACACAGGAAATTCTGGATAAGAACGGCCTCATGTGGGTACTGGAGGCACGGTTTGGCAGGTTACCGCCAACCAGGAAAATTGCTTCCCATTGGAAGTTTCCACAGCAGCAATGTGGGGAGGCCTCCAAGCAAAAGAAGAGGCAGCCAAGGTGGATCGTTGTGGGATTTGGTGCCCTGCTGGAAGAAAGAGTGACACCTGTCAGGCTCGATGCACAGTACCTGTTGCTCTTTGGCAGAAGAAACTTGTAATGCAGTTGGCAAAAGCCTCATGCACATTGTTTTTGAGACTCTTTTCAGTATATGAACCACGAATCAGGTTCGCGATTCCAAATTTCGACAAGGAAGCATGGGGCGATGCATGATGTGGGTCAAGTGTTTATTAGGTCCCATCCCAAGGTATGGCTGTAGGAACCATGTGCTGACCCTGCACTTGCATTGGTGGTACATGTCTCTGGAATGCATGGCAGTTGGGAACAGCTATGCTTGTTTTTGAGACTCTTTTCAGTATATGAACCACGAATCAGGTTCACGATTCCAAATTTCGACAAGGAAGCGTGGGGCGATGCATGGATGTGGGTCAAGTGTTTATTAGGTCCCATTCCAAGGTATGGCTGTAGGAACCATGTGCTGACCCTGCACTTGCATTGGTGGTACATGTCTCTGGAATGCATGGCAGTTGGGAACAGCTATGCTTGTATCCTTGCTGATTCCGTTCCTGGTGCACAGGCGGCGCAAGGACAAACCTGACTATACCTGTCTTCCTGAGATTGACTGCAGTTCACTAGCACCAGCTAAGAGGTTCAATCGCATTGACCTTCTAACGAGACGCCCTGCTCACAAACTGATTCAGGAAGATCCGTATTATGAGGTGATGTTGTTGTTCAACGAGATTTATGATGTTCCCACTCTTACAGGATGCCCAACTGTGGAATTGAAGAACACATGGTGTGGTGAAGCAACTATTATGTGGAAAGGACTGCCATCCTGGCCTGTACATGATCATTATGCACATAAGCAAAGGCTCAAGAGGATGAACACAGCAACAGGAAGCTTTAATTGGATCTTGCCTGTCCCATGAAGGAATATTGCGCACAAGGAATTCACTCCCCGGGCACCTGGCACCATGTATTGATATTGAGGCTGCAGTGCTGATCGCATTTAGCAGGGGCTACCTTTCGTTGGTGGCATCCAAGTTGTCTTGCACATCAACTATGCAAGTATTATTGTCACAGTGCTCCTTGAGGATGTGTTGAACGCTGTCTCTAGCGATGCAAGAGTTGGAAGACAGTCGGCTATCAGCCTGTCAAAATGCAGCAATTTTTGCGGCAAGAGCCAAGTTGGACCTGCAGTATCTGCACTCCCAAATGTGGTCTATGAAATGCTTGCCATCCAGAACTACCTCTGTCACAGCATTCTCCAAGTCGGTTTGCTGGAGTGCATACTGTACACTGTGTGTCTGCCGACTTTGCACACAAGCAGAACACCTGCCAATCTGCTCCCAAGGCATGAAAGTGCCACAGTTGCCCATGCCTGCAATGTCGGCCTCTAGGGTCCTCGTTTGCGCTCGTGGCTGTCCACTTTTTCTGTTGGAGCTCTGCTTTCTGTTAAGCAACACAGTGTTGTAAAGATGAGCGACATAGCGCTATGTTGAAGGGTGGAATGTGGAATGATATTGATGTAAAACCCCTGGCACAGGAGCCGTTTGCTTCCGGACTGTTCTTGAGGCCCAACGACCGCAGTGGCGGTCTACCTTGTGGGCTGCCAGGGGAGGCTGGGGGAAACCTTTTGCAAGGGAGCCCTCAAGGTGCAGGACTGGACGATTTCAATGATGATGGCGAGGGAGTGGGCATTTCTGGCCCAGACTATGACTGGGATGATGGTGGTGATGGGGTGGATGAACATGATGACCTCATTGCTGCACCGGGAAGGACAGTCGCCTTTGCACCCATCAGAGTCGCAGCAAGAATGAAACATGTGGGTCACCTGCAACAATCGAATCGCTGCTTGCTGGGCTGCACATGTCATTGCTGTCGTGTGTCTGGAGGCACACCTGGCGTGTTCTTCCCAGTAATCTTATCGTGCCTCAGGTGCATGGAACAGGCAGCCAATATGTTGTCGCAATGCGATGCAATGCAGTGGCACGGTTACTTGATGCAGACACCGTCGGTTCTCTTGTTCGCCATTCCCTTCACAGTACACTGTACATGTCTTCCAGCAATATTCTTGGGAAACAGGTTACCGTTTTTATACGGACTTCTGAGAGTCGATGCACCGATGTTGCCCTGGATTTCAGTGCCATGCACCAGATTGCAGCAGTGCAGGCTGCTGTGGGTTGCCCATGATCTTTGCATCAAAATGCACCAGAATTTCCACTCACCCTGTCAAGGTGACACAACATTGAAAAACTGTTGGGCTGTTTCCGCCCCAGCTTTGCATGTTATTGCAAGCGAATGCAGTTTTCCTTGCACCCACCATCAACTTTTCTCTTGAACAGCTGTGCTGATGAGCGAAGCTGGAAATAATGTTGAACTTTGCAAAACTGACAATGTAGTCCCCAATGATCAAAGTGGGCTTGGAACTCCTGGCAGAGAATCCGTGTAAGCAAAATGGCAGAAGCCGTATTACCCCCCATGCAATTGTGTGTCAGCAGCCTTATGATGAACAGGCAGTGGACTGCCAGCCAGGGTTGACACGCTCCCTGCTCTGTTCTTTGACAGCACAATGCAGCTACCTCTTTGGTCCTGGTGCGAACATCCCAACAAACCAAATGTATCAAATGTATCTTGTCCTGCCCATTTGGGAATGCGGTGCACTGTTTGGATACGCATTTGCTTGTCCCCTAACTGTCTCGTGTTGCATTGGAACATCTGTGCTCATTGTGGTGGGTAGGAAGGATTTCGTCTGGCAGCAAATGTGGTTGCCAGCAGCTCTTGTCCTGTGGCATGGTTCCTGTGTGCAGGCATGCGGAATGAGGTTCCACCAGTTGGCACATTTCCATTATCCTTGTGCCTGAATGTTTATGTGCCACTGAACAGGTTGACATTGGTGCTCTGAAAGCACACCTCTGGCAAGAATTGTGCCAACAATCGGACAATCCAGGGACCTCCTCGCAGACAGGCAGTGCTTTCTCAGAAATCGTCCGATCTGTGCCGGAAGCAGGGCAGGCAGGACGACTAGAAGACATATCCCCACACATGTGCTTCATTTGCCTGTTGCATCTCGCCAATGAACATGGTCTTCAACTCTCTGGCAGTGAAATGCTTGATGAAGTGCTTGTTGACAACATACCAGAGAACAGCAGATCCGGCAGGATGAAGTGCTGATCGACAGCACACCAGCCAGCAAAGAGCAGATCCTGCAGCAAGACCAGAAGACAAGCCCCCACATATTTGCTTCGTTGGACTGCATCTTGCCAGTGAACATGGCCTGCAGCTCTGCGATAGGGAAATGCTCTGACAGTGTGTCATGGCAACCTGAAATTGTCATGCCGAGTGTCCTTCAGCATCAATTCTGGTGCAAGGGCTGTTCCCAGTGGTAACGCTCACCAACACAACAGAATCCATGCCTTCCTGGCAGAGGCCCCTGTGGTCAAATGCGGTTTGCAATTTGAAGCATGCTTGCTGGCTTTTTCCACCCATGCAGCTGTGTGGATGGTGGCAATACAGTGCCACAATTTGTGTTGGATTGTGGCCACGGCATTGTTCTTTTCGCAAGACAATTGGTAGCAGCAGAGACTTACACAGGGACGTTGGCTTGGGCGTCATATCTTCAAGGCGTCAGGGGATTGTTTATGAGAAACAGCTGATAGCGGGAGCTGTTTGCAGGAGGCATGGTCATTAGCTTCTGTGGACAGTGCCATAATTGTTTGCAAGGCGGTTGGCTCAAGCTATGGATCCAAACGAAATTGGCATGTCTTGCACATGAACGCAATCGTCAGCAGGTCCACATTATGGTGTGGGCAGTGGGGGGAAGGCCTAATTGGCGCTGGCAGGCTGATCCATTGTCATGTCCCTGTCGTCCCCAGCCCTGGAGTTTTCACACCTGCGTGCTGGAGACAGCTTAGTTGCTGTGGCCCACCACTGCCTTGTGTAGGCGCAAGGCCCCATTTTGTCCACAAAACAAAATTTAATCCGGGATTCTGACTCAATAGCAGTGGGTGTTATGAATGGAATTGTTGGTGGCTGCGTCTGGGGACTTGACCATCCCATCAGATGCGCCAGGATCGTTGGCTGCATTCCCCTCGATCGTTCTGGAAAGACAACCAGAACAACTGGGGCCAACAGAGTCAGTTTCTCCAGGCGCATTGGATGTGCGACCCACCATCCCGCCAGTTCTTCATGCGAAGGGTCTTCCTGCGGGCCATGGCAGACCGGGACTCCTCTCCATTCCGTCCGCAGCCGTCTGCAGCGGGGGACAGGCCGAGTCGGCGGCACCGGGGTCCGGCGTCCGGGGACTGGACCACCGTCGGCACGGAGAACTCGCGACGGAAACGCCGCCCGGCGGGCTCTCCCCGTGGTGGCGGTCGTCTCGTGGGGCCACCGCTGTGCGTCGCAGTGCAGCGCAGTGCAGCTGCGTTGTACCTGCGGGCGTGTGCGCGCCGCGCCCCGTCCCATCCGGTGGGGAGTGAGCGTACGGCCCGTCACACTCCAAGGCCCCCGTCCACGTCACACACAAATTAGCCCACCCACGGCGATCATCGCGGCTGGGAAAGGCCGCCGCAGCCGCAGAAGGCAAAAGGGGCAGAGCCCAGCCCCACCCACCCCCTTTGTCGTGCCCAGCATCCTGAAGACAGGGACTGCCGTCGAGTGTCCAGGCGGCAGGGATCCTCCCCAGGGATGGGCGACCAAAAGGAGAGGGGTGGAGCGCGCCGGCGCGCCAGGCCTGCGGCCAAGGGCGTGCACCGGCCGCGGGCGGCAAGCCCCAGGCCAAGCAGGCTGCAGCTGCTATCCTGGCACACCATCCCGGAGTACCTGCGCGACAACGAGTATATAATTACCGGCTACAGGGCGAACTGGCCGGCGTGGGACAGCCTGAGGTCGCTCTTCCTGCTGCACAACGAGACGGGCAACGTGTGGACGCACTTGCTGGGTGCGCGCGGGGCGTCGCGCCCGGGCTTGACCCGGGTGGGAGGCGGCATCTGGACTGGGGAGATCATCTCGCGTGCGGGCCGGCCGTTACAGCTTCTGGCAGGCCGCGGGGGAAGATGGAGCCTTGAGAGCCGCGGCGCTAGGGTTTGGGTGCCGGGGGCCGTTGCGCTGTGCGGCGACCGGTCGGGGGCTGGGAAAGCCGGTCTGGGATTGGCGCCCGCGGAGGCATTGGGCTGTCCCCCAAGGACCCTGAATGTTTTCGACGTCAGTGGTCGAATGCGGCGGGGCCAAGAACGCGGGGGGCAACGCCTGGCCCTCGAGTCCTCGTGATTGGGGGGGCGGTGCTCTTCGGCGCGTGTCGCTTTGCCGCGGCAAGCGGCGGATCAGGGGAGCTCCAGGGTCGGGCTGCAGCGCTGGGCAAGAATCGACACTTGATCTTCGCGTTGGACTTCCTGCCGCGCTTCTCAGTTTCCTGCATATGTGCAGTACCGAACGGTGCAGCTTTCGTTGCGCTCACCGCAGCGCCGGTGCGCGTTTGGCTGCGTCCTCAATTGTTCGCTGCTACAGACTTTTCAGCCGGTGTCCTAATAAGCTGTCTCTGCCGCAGGGTTTTTGTTTTTCGTTGGCCTCACAGTGTGGGTAGCCAGGGCACCCCCTGTTGGGCTCGCAATAGACAAGGAGCCCCTTGACGACCTCTGGTCGTCAGTCCAAGACAACTTGCATACCCTTGGCGATCAACTTGGCGAGGGGATGCATGCATTGCAGGTAATTCTTCTCTTTTACCTGATGAGAATGGTTGGTAGCACATATTCTGCAACGCTGTGGTGGATCCAAAACAACACAGTCCCCCTTTTGTCAACGTTTCTGCTCTGCTGCCATGTCCCCGCTGGATCGGGGCTCAGCTGTGGCGTCAACACTACCCAATTCGATGCTGCACCACCTTTTTTGTGCTCGTTCGTCGCCAATCCAGTCGATGCTTGCATGCCTCAACAAAGCTTGCCAGCCCTCCTCAGCTAATCGTCGTAATTGTTGGTTTTGTGTAGCAGTGAGGAAGGATGAAATGTACTATAGCGAAAAAGATCTACAGACATGTGCTGCTGCATAGGTGCTAGAGCAGTATTTTGTCTCCGCTTGACAGAATTTAGCAGGCAGACTGAATTGTGCGGTTGTATGTTTTCCTCAGGACTCTCTGCACATGAAGGCTCTGGAAGTGCGGGCAGCTCTGCAGCAGTCTCTCCGGTCCTTGTCTGCTAACTTGGAGGATCGAGTGGTATCCCTGCAGGAGAAGATGCAAGGCATGCAGTCCCAGGTGAAGGGGCAACTGGAAGTGGCACAACATGGCCTGCATGAGAACCTGGTGTCCCTGATGGATTACTTGTCATTCTCTGTGCAAACCCTGGAGGAGCGCATACACGCGCTGCAAGAACACCTTGGCGCAATGGCCGAGTCTCTGAAAGACAAGCTGGGCACTGTCGGGCAGCACCTCAACAGCTCTTACCAGGTGAGAGTTCCTGTCCATCAGACACACCATTGATGGATCCCACTGTAGAGCCTGTGCACAAGCGGTTTGGACGACCACCACACAGTCCAGCATGTAATGACTGGAGCCTTGTCGCATGCCTTGTGCATGGAGCATGCTAGGCAAACTGTGTGAAGCACATAAAGCACAGATCAGGCCCTGATAGGGTGAACAGGTGTTATGGGCATGGATGTGGAAGCCATGCCTCAGCATGTAGACTGCCAACAGGGTGGGAATGCTTGTTCGTGTCTGTGTGAATGGAAAGCAGGAACTTCAGCGCCATAAGGACAAGCATCAGTGGTTGTGTCCAGAGCTCAACATGGCAAGGGGCAAGTGGTGTGTTTTGACATGATCACTCATGATATCAACAGACTGCCTTTGCAGCAGAATACATTCTCCAATATATCCGTTGACTGCTGTTGTTCTTCTCCCTTGCCTTGTTCCAGGGCCTTCAGGGCAACCTCCATGCCCTGCAGGACAGTCTCACAGAGAATGTGGGCGGTGTGAGGGAAAGGATGGCAGTCAACCTGGGATCGCTGGGGCAGAGAATCAGGGGCTCGTGCACAAATTTCCAGGAAAGCCTGCACATCTTGCAGGAGTTGCTGGGGCCCGGTCCTCACAGTTTGAGGAGGACGAGCAGCAATGTGAGAGGTTTCTCCTTGTTCTCTGGCTTGGAGGTCAAGGCCTAGTGGGCCAGCCTTGGCGTTTTCGTCCCAGGTTTGAACCAGCCGTGCATGCTTGTGAGATTGATTTGTGAGAAGGCATGCTTGTTTGATGCAATTCTCTGCATCTCATCTGAACTCTCACATTCTTGACTATTTTTTATGTCTTTGGTGGATAGGGGCAGCTAAGTGCAGCTGTGACTTGTGTCGCAACAGGCGCATCAGAGCTGCCCCACCTTTGTGAAAACACTACTAGCGTGTGTGAGTAATGTGTGCCATGGCCTCTACATTTTCTAGCAGGTTCTTGCATGCGCCTGTAGCATACCCCTCTATGGTGCGTTGGCCAGTTGACTGAGCACCACTTGCAGTGCAGAATTTCACGTGCACAAGATTGGACACTGCTTAAGGTGCATTTCTTTTACCAACAAGGCTTACCGCCCTTGTGTTTGTTCAGGTTTGGTCGATCGTCCGGTGGCCGCTGTTTGTCTACATGGCCGGGGCGATGTGCTGCATGCTCTTGTCCAGCGGATGCCACCTTTTTGCGTGCATGTCAAAGGACATATCTTCCCTTGTCTGGCGTTTTGACTATGCAGGGATTGCATTGCTCATCGTGTCATCGTTCTATCCACCAGTGTACTACGGCTTCATGTGCAAGCCGATCTGGAAGCTCCTATACCTTGTTCCCATATCGCTGCTTGGTGAGGATTCACTGGGAAGGTGCCCTGGTGATCATCCGACCAACAACCACCATTAGCTTTCTCTTGCATTCTGGTGCATCTGTAGTGGCTGCCCAAGCATCCATTCATAAGCTGACAGCCACCAACAGCGTTGCATTTACTGTGATGTGTGAAACTTGGACAAGCAGCCTGTTGCTGCTGTCAAGGCCATTGCTTATGCAACCCCACTATTGGAACACTGTTGGCGGAAGAAAAGGGTGAGTGTGCAAACCCTTCTGC